ATGCGAGAAACGTACATACATTCATTCCAATCTTTTATTATTTAATTCTTTTATTATGTAATTCCTTTAAATATAATACAGAGAGATAATATTTGGTGGCAACAGTCTAAAAGTCAGCATTTAAGTGATTCAACACTAAATACCGAACTCTTCTGGGCTAACGCCCCTTTGAGCTAAAAAAGTCTGATGTGAATGCAGCATGACTTCCTTGTACTGCCTATTAAACTATACCCATTTTTTAAATGTGTTTGAAATGAACATGAAAGAATCGAAAGTTCTCAAAAAAAATGTTTACAGGGGCAAGTCTATTTAACATTGAAGGTAAATGGCTATCTCGCCAAACTGGTGAGATAATTGCAAACTAGTGATGGTTTAGCGATTAAATTTTGTCGTGAAATTATGCGAGAAATCGCCAAATGTCGCCAAACGTGGTGCGCATCGGTGGTTTTGAGGTTCAGTGGTAATCCAAGTTTGTCGAAAGTGTGGTGGTTCAGCAAAACATTATATCTCATATCAATAAATCAAATTCAATAATCACCAATCAATAAAATATAAATTGATTTAATTAAATATAATAAGATCTCAAAATCTCACAACTGCTTCACACCTTCCATCGAGCAACTGCATCGAATCTCAGCACACTCAATAGCGCTCTCAGCGCCCTCTAGCGTTAGGCGGGTCTTACCACGTAGAAACATTTTATTTTGATGTACTTATAGAAGTGCAATTGGTCTGATTCCTACATGTAACTGTAACTACATCCGGCTCTATGTGTAAGGTGAAACTATACAAGCGGGAAAGAGCATCAATTCTCTGTTCAGATTTGAATTCTTAATTTAGGTTTTTGCATACTGCCTTGTGTTTCACGGTCTTAGTATTTTGAAGCGTTAACTACTGTTTGTGCTTTACCGTACTGAGAAGAGTTGTATGAGAATTTTTTTTGAAACTTTCCAGAACTTAGTGTGTTTGTTTTGGAAAAATAAATTTTATCAAGCCATCATGATTCCGTGTGCATTTAATCCATTACGAGCCCGTGCACACGTAGCAATACCATGGGGATATTTGTTCCCACCAAAGAACTGCAAAGGGTTCTTTGATCCATTCCTTCTACAGATATATGATACTAGCAGGGCTTAATTTCTAAAATTAGAAGTGCCGAAGCCCTATGGAAGACCGTCAGCAAAGAGGAACAAAAGTAAATAAATAAATAAAATGACTATTAAAAATCATTAATAATTTAAAAATTAAATAGTTAATTATTATTTAATTAATTTTAATAATTATTATCCGTCAATTATTATCTAATTAACGATTATTACGTAATTATAAATTAATTAATTGTAATTATTAAAATAGTTAAATAATTAAAGATAAACGTAACTAAATAATTAAATTAAAATTAAATAAAATGTAAAGAGATAAATTACAATTTAATAAGCGATTTGTAATATAATTTTATTGCAAAAAATAAAATTTTCGAGATCTAAATAATTAAACTAAAATTAAATAAAATGTAAAGAGGTAAATTAAAATTTAATAAGCGATTTGTAATATAATTTTATTGCAAAAAATAACATTTTCGAGATCAAATTTCTACTGAAATTGCTTTTGAATTACAAAAAAGAAGCGCCAGAGCCTTCTGATTTAGGGCTCTGGTGCGCTTCGGCTAGAATTATGATTTATCCTAAAAACTAAGAAGTACCGGAGCCAGGCTCCGGTGGGCTCCGGCGCAATTTAAGCTCTGGATACTAGGGATCAAATCGTTTCATGAAAAAAGTTCCGTATAATTTTTATTTAATATTGTAAGATATATTTTAGTTTTATAACAATTATTTTAATTTAGTTCACCTTTCCTGTCTTATCTCGCTTCAACTTACAACTCCCTACCAGAATGAGTTTTTATAATCGCGCTGAAAGCAAATGAGGAAGAGAATAGTATTGAAAGTAAGTTCAACTGACTTCGCGCGCGAGAGAGAGTTAGGATTCCTGAATAGCGAGCGTTTGCCTTTGGGCTACGTCTCTCTAAACTGTTGACACGCTCGGCCGTATTATTACTCGCCTTTTGATAGTTCGCAGGCTAGTTTAAGATTACGGGCCGACTACATTAGAATTGTGTTAGCTTCGACTAAATTTCTTAGTTAGTCATTAGTTAGTTCTCAGTTTTTGAGTTTAAGCCCAAGTGCTGGAACCTCGAAGAAATGAGCCGACTGTTAACCTTATTTTGAGTGAATAAAGGGTAATCAACCCTTGAGTTTACGCTTTTTCTGGCCTTTGAACTAAGCGAGTATATGCTTAATAGTTCTCTAGATTCCTCGACACTTAAATTAACAGAATAAAAGTGAGGAACTCTGTAGTATATTAGAACCATTTTTACCTGAATATAAGTTAAATAATAACATAGATTCAAATCCGTATAACTGATTTGAAACATACCTGATATTTTAATGTAAATGAACTTAACTAATGAAATTTTAAGGGAATTCTTAAATATGAAAGATTTTGTTACTATCAGATTCTAAACAGAAAGGAAACTTCGTCATCGTATGCGTCAAATAGAACGAGGAGATTGAATTTTCTGATATAATATGTCAATGAAATAATATTAGAAATTATAGGAATGAAATGGGAATGAGAATACCTGCTAACTATCCTTGTCTTATTTTTTTAAGTTTCACTAATTATTAAAATTATCTTCATCAGTACGATAGTATTCCTCTGATTTTTAAATAAAATGAAATTTTCAATTTATGATTTGTTATTTTAATTTTAAAGTTATTGATAAAATTGAGTTCTCCCATTTTTATGCAGATTTGTAAAATAATCACAGTAAACGGTAATGACAGATTTAATTCTTTGTCATAGCTGAGAAATAAAAATTTACAATAATCTTTGTTTCTTTTAAATATTACTTATCTAATTGATATCCATATAGTATTATGAAATATGTAAGCCAAAATTTAAAAAAAAAAATTAACCGAAAAGAATCATTCTCAATGAAAGGAACAAGTAACATTTGATACGATCACATTTTGCAAAATATTAAACTTTTTTGTTATTGGAATATATTTATTTATTTGCTGATTTAAAAATATCATCTTCTTTATTGAAGGAACATACTAATAACTCTGTCAAATATTTCTTAGAAATGTCAGTTTACAACACTGAAAAATATTCAAAAGTGCAGAAAGAGGGTATAAGGTACTTAAGAGATATTTACTATTATGGTTATTATACTATTTATTATTAAAGAGGATATTTATTATTAAAGTTATAAGGTATTATCTCCCATCTTTCTGTATGTTTCTGTATGTCAGCTTTCTGTATGTAAGGTATTTCTCCCGCCTTCTTGGCATGCCTTCGTGGTGTGGTGGTGTGCACGTTGAGCGTGTATCCAGAGGTCCGTGGTTCGATTCCAGGCTAAGGCGTTGCTAATTTTTCATCTTTTCTGCTTCCAAAAAATACCCAATGTCTCTACAGTGACGCCCGAACTAAAAGAGTGTTGCACGATGATTCTCCACACTCAGGATTTGGCGATTGGGTTCCCTAAAAACCTCAGTCTCTGTTTAAAAGGGGGAGTATATAAGGTATTTCTCCTACCTTTCTAGCGTGCCTTCGTGATATAGTGGTTCTGCACGCTGGGAGGGTATTCCAGAGGTCAGTGGTTCGATTCCCGGCGAAGGCGTTGCTAATTTTTCATCTTTCCTGCTTCCAAAAAAATACTTAATGTCTCTACAGTCTTCATAGCGTAATTGGAAGCATACTCGACGCGTATTTGAGTTCGAGTCCTGCCGAGAACATAGCGCATTTTTTCACGTTTCCTGCTTCAGAAAACCTAATACAAGATAATACTCTACAAGACTATAAATATTTAAAGAAATTTTAGATAGCACATAGGGTATCAAATGTTAACGTACACTGAATTTGTGTTGGTAACAAACACTATAAATTAAAATTTAGTATCGAATGCGTTAATGCAGATATAAGGTAATTATCCTTTCTTGTGTTACTGATTAATGAAAAAGTATACTTCTCCAGTCCAGCTTCCTTTGTTAGTTGTTTCTGCTAAATGAAACAAAACAGTGACACGAGCTTATAAAAACCTTTCGTCTCCTTATTATAAAATAGTGAAGGTATTTCACAAAAGAAAAGCTAAGGACATAAGCAGTTTGCATGACTAAAATATTTTCTGTAAAAACGAGATTTCAGGATTATAGCCTAGCTTGTAATTTAATGAGAAATTTCAGAACGCTTTCTTAAACAATATTGGCATAACTACAGCAGAAATTTTATTATGAAATGAACTTTAGCGAATTTTAGATTTTCTAAGATTTCCGAGAACAATATCAGATTTTTTCTAAAATGTTGAATAAATGCATAAATTTTGGATTTTTAACAATTATTTTTATTTTTCTTACAACTGTTAGATTATTTTTTCAGTTTTATGGTTTTTATACAAAATTTCCACAGATATACACTGCAAAATAATCAATCGCATTTCAGAATCCGCATTAAAAGACTACTCTTTGAACTACCCTAACTTTTGCTTTCTACCGTGATAAGCAATAATAGTAAGACATATGTTAGAGTGAATCCCAGGCCGACGAAACGATGTTATGATAGCTTTATGTTAATAGGGAAAATATTTGTTTGCTCTAACCAGTGTAGGTCAATTTTTATTTCAGGAAACGCAGTTTTTCCCATTAAAACTGAAAGATTAATGTTGCTTTGCTTTTCTAGAAGGATGCTATTTCAACAAGGAACTGGTATTTACAAGACAGCAGAAAATTGCAATACAAGCATAAAAGAATGTAGTATGTGACCAAATTGCATATATTTATCATATTTCATTCCTTTGAACTTATTTATGAAAGAACAGATAATTTAAAATTTTTATTATTAAATCTTAATTTTATTAGTTCTTTGATTTGGTTTTTGTGGCTAGGATTTGACTATTTCCTTACTGTTCTAGTAATTATGAGTAAAGAAATAATTGAAACGCAGAAGCTTTCAGATTTTTATTTTACACATATAAACAAACATTTACAACCATACCACTTATGTGGTAATTACTTTACACCACGTATGATATATATATATATGCATATAAAAGAGAAAAATGAGCACTTTCGTACACATATGTATAAATGCAAAGTTGTTTCACATTCACAACATCAAAAACATTTCTCTCGAATTTTGGATGCCAGAATGTTTAGCAATCAAATTTGTTAAACAGCTTTTTTTTACAGTTTTGAATTTTTAATGTAATGGAATGGATGACAAGGAATTTGAAACAATATCTAAATATTTTCTCTTTCCATTCATGTGACTATTATATTACATTCATAAGATTTGATCGGCTACTTTATAAATAAGTCCAACCTCCCCCCTTTCTTGCGAAGTGAAAAGTGCTCTTCTTGAATTATTAATGCGTAAACATTTTTTACATGAATTTTAGAATTAATTTTTTATTTCTATTTTTTTAAAAGAAATGTTAGTCTGTTGGACTCTGATATTCTCTTCACAAGAAAAGACAAGCTATTCATAAGAAGACAATGCAAGGTTTAGTAATTAAAAAAAAAAAGAAATAGTAGAAATTCACATGAGAACCAGAGCTTACTAACAAATGCAGTTCAACGTAATTTTAACTTCAAGAATACTTTAATTGAATAATTCAACATTTTAAAATTTCCAAAAAAAAAAAAAAAAAAAAAAAAAAAAACTGTAAAATTGAAATGCAAACATACGATTAAAGTCATTGATAAGTCATTGTGAAAACAATAGTATGTTTATATAGAAATTTATCTTTCGCTCGAGAGTACAAATTAATCCTAAAAATCATAATTATTTAGTAGTAATTCAGTAAATACACTATTTAACTCACACTTGAAAAAGAAAAAAATGTTAATTTTTATGTAAACCTTAAATGAAATAAACTTTTCTGTTTTATTGCATTTAAATTTTGTAAAGGGAAACAACCGATTTAAAACTACATGATTATGAATATTAGTGTTTTAAGTAATTTTTTCTTAGTAACTAAAGTTTTAAGAAACAATATCTGGCAACCGACTCGGTCTGAGACTGTAAAATAGGTGCTAAAATTTGTGACCGTAGAGAAATTCTTAAAAAGAAAAGACCAACAGGATGCATCTTCTGGTTGAAGCATCATTGCTAAATGTGCCGATAATGCAAAAATTTTTCATAAATCTTTGAACTCACAAAAAGTCACTTCGATTCGAAATTACAACATTGACATTTGATAAACTACAACAGGTAATCACTGAAGTACACCATTAGTGCAAACTCTGAAGAGTAAAAGTCAACCACATTAAAAGTGCTGTTTAATGTTCAATTAGGAAGTAAAAAAATAAGGTGACACATTACAACTGGAGATCATATTACCATAGAACACTTCTAAATATCTTGGTGGCTATTTTCGACACCATACTGGAATTACAATTTCGCAAACGTATCACGTATGTGTTGACAAAGCCAGTGGAACTTGGGATTAGCGTCTTTTTTTATCATAAACTTGTTATCAAGGCCTTACTAGTTACGAGTATAGTTTTACATGACTGATTTGGCTACATGTAATAACTCCTGCTTATATTGTTACTAGACATAATTATCCATGTCTTAAGACGTTCTAAATTACGGCACTGAGAATCTGATAAACATTCAAACATTATTTGTTTTTCTCTGTCATTTTTAATATGCCTGTCAATAGCCTTTGTAATAGCATGAAAACTACACAACCCAAACTCTACTCTCTCTTTTTCTTTTGGTACACATGTTTTCTAGATTAAGTTCAAAAAACTGATGTCTTCAAACGAAAGAATCTAACCGTGGAACGATCTCATAAAACATTTGGCTCCATCTTTTAGTGGAAGATATGTGGTCATTATTCCATCTTGCAGTACTTTGTCATTCAAAGATTAAAGAACAAGATTCAGGCAAACAAGCCAGTTTTCCCACCAGTGCTTGAGAAATAATCCTAATCTGCGAAAGAGCACGAATGCCTGTTAAAGTCTTTGGATTGTTTATTCCAGATTCCAAGAGATGATACTTAGTACAAATAAATAGTAATTTAAAAATTCAAGTAAAATACATAAAATTGTTAATTTTATATAAGCATCTGTTACTGTCTCCAGTAGGCACTAAGGGATCTTATAAAAATGCCTTACAAGATATTTAAAAATTATACTTCATTTTTACCAAACTAAACTGTAACTAGTTCCAAGTATATCTGAAATATTCTGTTACAAATTAATCTTGTCATTTTTAGAGCACTGTGTTTTTAAATTTAATAAAAAAACGTATGCAAATCGTGAGTAGCTCAAAACTCTGTTTAATATAAGAAATCAGAAACGAAATATACTTACTGAAAAGAATAAGAAATGAAAAATTGTATTTATTTTGAATCCACCAAGAAAGTTATTTGCTTTACGAGTTTCACTGCATGGTTAAACACAGCAATCGATTTTGACAAAAAATGCGTACATAAAATGAATCATACAGAGAGCTGAAAATTAGCATAACAGTAAACAAAATTATGAAACACAATATGACAAAACATGGAAGAAGTTTTGCTTCTGTGTTGAACCTATGAAATCATTCTAGGAAATGAAACAAACACTTTTCAAAAAATATTTAGGCACAGAAATAATGACAGTAAAGCGACAAATAGGTAAAATCATTTAAATGACAATAAATAAATAAATAAATAAATGAATAAAAAATAAATAAAGATCATTGAATAACAGAATGTATAAAAATTTTCTTTCAATAAGTTTTATTAGGTTTAAGTCATATTTTAAATTTGTGTATGGAATGAAATATATGATACTTATGAAAGAGTAGAAGATGTATATGCTTCTTTCTTCTAAAAACCTTTAAAAATTTCTTCTTGTATTTCAAAATAAATGTTATGTTGTTTTTGAAATACTATATACTAAAAACATTAATGATCGTCATTTAAAATATAGTCAGAATTTTATAATTTCCTTACATCTTTTGTGTAACAATACATTCAGTTACAGAAAAGCATAAAATTCGTTTCAGTTTCACCAAATATCTATTTGTTTTAATAATGAGAGAACACTATTTAGAATATCTCAACATGTTATTGATTTCACTTTGCAGCATCTTAAAATTCAAGGTAAAACTTTATTGACAGGCAACTATTTTTTACTACTTAAATCGTCACATTGACAGTAATAAACTAGGAAAATTATAACTTAAATATGAAAGAATTTTGTTACAAGTTTTCGAATCAGAAATTTCATAATCGCAAAAGAAGTGTACGAGAAAATTCCTGATGTTCAAATTAGAAAACCTAAAAGAGAAGGTCACATCATTTTACAAAATGTTATTAAAAGAACATGTATTCTATATATTATATTAACGTCTCTAGCACCACAAAATTAAAGTTCATATATTTCCAAAGAGAATGCTTGCCCATACTTTTCATGGATAACAGCACATAAATGAAAAAGCACCTTTATGATTTGAGAAACCTAGTGATACTGCAGAACTTTGTACACGATACAAAAGCTCTAAAAGCTTGAACGGTTACGTGTGGATTGACATTAAAATGGTTACAATGCGCAAAGAAGATCTGCGTAACGGAGAACAGAGGAAAAAGTGAAGTGCAACCAAATTGTTCGAGTGGAAAAGTCCTCTATGAGACATATCATCATATTTATTGTCCCCTTTTCATGATATCTTTGAGCTTAAGTAATCATTGGCTCGCCTTACATAATATCATCAGGCTCGAACAGCTATTAGCTAGTTATTGGCCCACGGTAAGAAGTTACTCCAGAAGAAGCAAAAGTCACCGGTTTTGAATATCTCTTATAATTTACTTGCTTGTTGATTCGCCTATCGGCCTTATGTCAAGAAGCTTTAGAGTGGAGACCTCGAATAATACTAAGTTTTGACTTTTTTCTCCATGTGCATGTCAGTATTCTCCAATAAGTTTTCCTAAAATTCGCATTAGCAAGAGCATAGCAGACGGGATTGATCATACTGTTAAGATAGCACAAATAGTACGAAAAATCCCATAGAATCTGCGGTATGATATCATTGCAACTGACAAACGTCTCCACACTCTTGACCAGTACAAGAACATTATAAGGTGTCCATGTGATGATGAAGGCCAAAAGAATGGCACTTAACGTCCGCGCCGCTTTCCTGTCATGTTTCTTTTCTTGAACTTTGTTGTTCCTTTTCTTTATATTGGGTCGCTGAAGTCTGGCTTGTTTAGCACCCGGCAGTCCAGCTAATCTAGAAGCGTTTAAAACCTCACTGGAACTACAACGCATGAGCCTGTGATCATTCACTGAATGGGCCATCAGAGCGCTTGTACTCAAAGATGACCTCATTGGTGCCGGAGGAGCCGGAACTTCGTCTATCATGGTAACTGTGGGTTGGGGCTCGAAGTTCGGATCGGCTGGATCAGGAAGTCGGATCATGACTGTGTAAATGGTTTCTTTTGCAGCAGCAGCAAGATTCTCTTCTTCCTGGTTTAGAAGGGCCTGAACGTACGCAATCTGCTCAGGGCGCAGTGTGACAGAAGTGGCTCTGGAAGACTGAATCGGCGTTTCGGCCGAACTTGGAGTTGTAGCCCCAGGGCTTGTACTATCATCTTCTCCCCCATCATCGCAATCAACATTACATAAAGTTATAAGGAAATCCTTTACTCGATGAGTACAGTTCTTTTCCTCTTCGTTGATACTGTTGCACACAGTTGGCGCAGGCAGGCAGGTGGTTGCCTGTTCAGTAGACTGCTCATTTTCTGCAATTAACTCCGCCAGATAGTGCTTCCTATTCTCCGTCTCTCGCCAGATTTTGTAGTACAAAACACACATAACAATTACGGGTACATAAAATGCAATCAGTGCCGTAATAACTGTTATGTAAGAATTCGTTTCGAGGAACTGTATGTAACATTTGTTTTCCGGTACAGATCTCTTGCCCTCTATATACGGCCATGCTAGAATCCATGGTGGCCAAGTCAAGAAAGATAGAATCCAAGCACATGCTATCATGATCGCAGCAAGACGACTATTCCTCCGAGCTCGGTATCGAAGAGGATTTGTGACCGAAAAGTAGCGGTCGAAACTAATCATGAGCAAATTGAGAACCGAAGCATTGCTGCACAAATAGTCTAATGCGAGCCAGAGGTCACATACAATAGGTCCAAGTTTCCATCCTTCCAGTAAAGTATAACCTGTGAACAAAGGCATGGAAAATAGACCTATCATAAAGTCAGCAACTGCTAGGCTGAGGAGAAAGTAATTATTAACCGTTTGGAGCCTCCGGTCCATTTTGAAAGACACCATAACTAAAACATTTCCTATGATTGTCGCCAAGCTGAGGAGAGTAGTTATGGTTGCAATTAGAGTTGTCTCAACGACAGTGTAAGATCTAGTAGTTTCATTGTATAGGTTTTCACTGCATCCATCAAAAGTTTCGTTTATGGTAAGAGTCGGCATTGTTTGAGCAATCAGAAAGTAGTTCTCAGCGGAGAAACGAGCTTCGGTCAAGAATTCCAGACAGATCCATTCAAAAAAGGATTCCATGCAAACTTCTTTGCTCACCGATGTTTCACACCAGAAACATTTTCTTGTGCTTTCTTTTACTCTGCAATGAAAGTTTCTTTTAAAGCATGTAACAATTTAATTAATGCTACAAATATACAATAAATCATACAAAAATAGAATTTGAGAAAAAATCACACACATAATAAACACAAGTATTCAGGAACTAAGCTAAAATTATTCAAACTCCTGGCTAATGTATTAAATTCATAAAAGAATTTAACAATGAAAAAAATTGGAGTAATATAAACCTAAGTAAACTTGTTTTCCAATACAAAAATCTTGAAAAGTATGTTACCATAAAATTTTTTAATTAGATTCAGCAAAAGTAAAATTAAATAATATTAACTGATTTCACAATGCTTACATTAGATTATTCGAATATGGCAAAGTATACGAGGGCTATTTGCCTGAGGGAAGGAAAGGCTCCTTAGAGAACTGTTTAAATAAAAGTGGCTAGTGTTCGCTTTAAATTTAAGGAAAATCAACTACGCAGGCAGCCTGTTCACGTGGGTTTGAGTTCAGGTCGAACTATCGGTCTTCAGCGGTCTTAACCACTCGGCCATTGATGAGGAAATTTCAGAATAAACGAGGAAAAGAAAGATTCTAAAATTACAAAAATAAAATGACCTAAAATTTTTCCTTTTTTTCTAAATTAATTTATTTTGCATTTGAGATCCTTTTGGTTTTCATTACTGTATTTATCCTCTTAGGCATCATTTCAACTAACTTTTGGCAAATATTTTGGTTATGCTTCTGCAAACGTTTCTTCAAGTTAGAATTCTAGTCGTGTAATATTAATTCAAAATCCTTCAGACCCTATTAAGTTGACAAGCGAGTTATCCATCTATCTGTGTAAATACGACAGAGTCTTAAGAAGGTTTTTAATAAACCTTTCCGTTAAACTTGAGTTTAAATAGAAGGTACCATCTGTGCATACACAGAAGCGTAAATAGAAGACACCGCTTGTACAATAATTTCTGCGACTTTCAAGTAGTAAAGTAAAATAAAGACGAATTTAAAAATTAAATTCTTTTTGGCTTGCATTTGTGTAATCGGAGACTACACAAATTCGGCCTAACTAAGGCGGCTCAACATCAATGGCGAGATTTAATGTCAGTAAGCAAATGACTGTGAGCAGTATAAAGTAAAGTTGCTAGAGTCATTGCTGAAAAGTCTATCTAAAACATTCAATATGTTCACCTCAAATACCATAAATCTCATTTGCATCTTAATCAAGGCTAATGGAAAGGAGAAATTAGAGTAAAGATTGAAATCATAAAAATTAGATAGTTAACAAAAAATATGTTATAAAATTATGAGGATTTTTTTTCTTGTATGCCATGTGCCTTCGTGGTGTAATTGGAAGCACATCCGGATAGTAGCTGAAAGGTCCAGTATTGGAATCCCGACTAGGCGCTAGCAGAGTTTTCGTATTTTCTGCTACGAAAAACGTAATGACTACAAGTGACGCCCGAATAAAATCGGGGTGATAAATAATTCGTCATTACCTGGATTTGGCGATTGTGTCCCATTTTAAGATGGAGGAGAATATAAGAAAATTTCTGCTTTCTTACCGCGTGCTTTTGTGGTATTATTGGAAGCATGTCTGGCTAGTAATCGAGAGGCATGGGGTTCGAATTTTGGTGTGGACATTTTGATATTTCAAGTTTACAAAATTAGCTTTCCTTAAAAATATTTTATGCAAGGTTTTCTGTATGTATTCTCATGAATTGAACATGGAATTAAAATCTGAAGCACGTTCTGTATATAACCGCATAAATAGGAAAAGTTTTCGTATTTCAAGCATTTCGTTTCAAATTTTAGGTTAAAATTAAATATGACAAATTGGCTGTCTTACTGTCAGTGACTTCTAAGCATTCTCTTTCAAGTTATTTGATTGCCCTAGCAATGTCTTATACTGGCTTAAGATTTCTTGGCTGAATCTCAATATTTCGCTTTTTCATGCTATATGAAATAAAAATGTTAAATTTTCTTTCACTGACAAAAATCTTTCAGATCAATTATGAGCCTTGTTATTAAAGTGATCATGAATTCTGAAAAATTCACAATGCAACTAGATTTTCAATTTATGTTTCTTCAAAATGTCTCTTCAAAAAGTTCGCTGAAAAATCGTGTTACATGCTAGGAGTTTGCAGTAAATAAATCTGGCAATTAGAGGGCGTTTGCATACTTTCAACAGAAGAAATGCATGAAATGACATTATCCGAAACAATGCAGTTCGTATTATAGTGCAAACAGTGTTAAAACATCTTTGAGCCAATTTCAGCATGAACTTATGTATTTTTTTTCTTCCTAATACGAAGTACGATTAAGGGAAACATTTAGGATATGATATTTCAAAGGAAATATTCATTTTGAACGTTCCCGAATCCATTTGGACGATTTTTTGCATGATATCTGTGCCTACGCACAAAATAAAGGACTTATCTTTTCTCCAAACCAGATTGCAAAATGAATTTAAAGTGGATTAAGAAGGGATTTTTTTCGAGACGTCTGTGCGTATACATCTCGCATAACTCAAAAATGATTACCCGTAGAACGCTGAAAGTTTGTCTATATGACTACTGCAACACCTAGTTGTGTACCTTCATTTTTTTATTGCAATCGGCAATAGCATGCGTACGGGTTTGTAATGGATTGACCATACACAGAACCGATAATAGTTTGATAAAATTTATTTTCCCAAAAGAAATATTTTACTGTTTTGGAACATTCCACAAAAGTATTCTTTCAGTTCTTCTCATCATGACAGAGCACAATCAGTAGTTACGACTTATAACTTCTGAGACCGTTAAACAGTAAACAATATAAAATGTTTCAATGCGTAAGCTCGCTCACTGATCTTTCGATCTGAAATAAACTAAATTAATGCTCTCTTCAGTCATATAGTTTTTCCCCGTCCGTTGAGAAATTTTCAGTAGCTTTGATGTCTCGAAATTTCTGTAAGCCACAGACAATAACCATCTGGCGATATTTTTGGTCGACATTTTGACGACTTCTCTCCAGATTTGACGACAAACATTAGTCGCAAAAACCATCAATAGCTTGGCGCTATCTCGTCTTGGCAAGATAGTCATTTACTGGAATGCTGCCCCTGTAACCTTATTTTTCTAGCGCAACTTCGCATTATTAAGGCTTTTCATGTTGCATTATACAAGAGATACAACAATTTGCATATGCTTTCACTAAAATTATTTACATATATACAAAATTCATAACAGTACACACACACACACACATTATATATCCACTCTCTTACCCCGCTTAAAAGTCCTTACCCAGCCTTTATTTTCGCAACCGTTGCTAGTTAAATGCTTCCAATTACAAAAGTGTTTTAAATAACGAAAATGTTTATTTTTCTGGAATATAAAATTAAAAAAAAATTGGCAGTTTACGATATCTAATTTTTGAAGGGGTCTCCCGGTTTCTATGGAAAGTTTTGCACTTAGTTTGACTCCCGTACTACAAAATTTGACCGGGATGTTTTATTTTATGGCAATTTTTGATGTCATTTTCAATTTGAAAAACACAGGGATTTTTTTTTTAAGTTAGAATAATCCCAGGAAATAAGTTTAAGTAAAGTGCAGCAAAAAATGTATTTAATTTAATAGACCACGCAAAGAAATCATGTGGTATCACCTCAGATTTTATTTTAGCAAATGGCGATTGTGGAGAGAATCTTCATCTCTTTTGATTCGAAAATTATCAAGACTTTTATTTGCTAGATTTTTCACCTTCTGAGTTTGTTGTTGTGTCTTATAAGGTAGTTCTATGAAACCTCCATTGTCAGACAATTCAAGCCATGCAAACCTAAACGGAAATGTAGACCAAAAACTGGACTAGCATATGAGTGTGCTGGACTAAAAGCGTCTCCAATTTTACGAAGGGTTGTTTCTCTGAAGTTAGAAATTGATTTTCATAAGAGTGCATACACCCTTAAGACGAGGCATTGATATGAATGCACGCTGCGGCAGATACAAGGCAAGGCATTTTGCCAGTACTTCCAGAAATCTCAGGAACGCGGGAGTAACTGTGTGAGTTTTGATGGATGGATGTCACTTCGAAGGTGATTTAATAATATTTTCCCTTTCAAATAGAACTGCGCTAAAAGTTGTTACCGTGAACGTTTGCTAATAAATTTGAAAACTTACTCAAATATATTTTAGCTGCAGGGATTTTTTTCTTTAGCCCTGTTTTAATTGACTGACAGCTGACTTTACAAATCTTGGCTTTAGATTAGTAGTTCTTTTTCTCATCAACTACATTTCCTGAAATAAAAATATTTAACGTTCTAAGTCAAGCATTATAGTCCATAGAACTTATTTTAGTGCATTTGGAAACTATATTTGTTTATTTATTGCTAATTTTGATATTTCACACAACTATAGAATTTATATTCCGATTTTATACACTGCAAAAATGAGCTTTAAATCACTTTCAGTCTCATAAGTCTTTGGTCCCATGATTTCGAAATCATTATAAAAGCTAGAGTTTTGTGGTGTAATTGCTAATTTAATTGTCATTATAATTTTGAAGAATATTTTAAGCTTATAAACTTACACATTTTTATTTCTTAAATGCCAGTTACTTTGATATGATTTTACTGAGTTTGGTTTTTCTGTTTTATTATTTGTTTATGTGGGGCAAATCTTGAAATCAAATTTTGACATACTAAGCCGATTTTTGTGAACATTTTCTCATATACATGCTTGCAATGGCAGTGTAACATCTTACGAAATTAGATATGACACCCTTTCTTTATTCTGAAACTGAGAGATAAACACAGTAGTGTGAGTATCCAATGGAAAGGTTTTGAAGATGAGAAAATGAAACCTTCAATTAGTGTCTCGTTCTCAATAAGCCCACTGTAAGGAAGAAGTCTCGAAAGTGACGAGAAAATCTGGAATCACGATTTTCCGGAAATTTTTATCTTTGTATTTTATGAATTCCTAATTTTCAGAAAAAAATTCTAAGTGAATTCGGGAATTTCAAAGAAATGATTTTTGCACCTCAGA